ATTTGGGGGATTTTGGGGGGAATTGGGGGATTTAAGGGAAATTTGGGGAAGATTGGGGGGGTTTGGGGGCATTTTGGGCAATTTTGGGAAATTTAAGGGGTTTTGGGGGGATTTAGGAGGGATTTTGAGACAAATTTGGAAGATTTTGGGGTGAATTTATCACATTTTGGGGTGGATTTTTGGGGTGGATTTTGGGTTGAATTTCCCCGATTTTGGGCTGGATTTTTTGGGGTGAATTTATAATATTTTGAGGTGGATTTTTGGGTTGAATTTATCACATTTTGGGGTGAATTTTTGGGGCAAATTCATCAGATTTTGGGGTGGATTTTTGGGGCGAACTTGGCCGTTTTTTGAGGTGGATTTCTGGGGTGGATTTTCGGGTTGTATTTTCCTGATTTTGGGGTGGATTTTTTGGGGTGAATTTATAAAATTTTGGGCTGAATTTACCACATTTTGATCTGGATTTTTGGGGTGGATTTTTGGGTTGAATTTATCAGATTTTGGGGTGGATTTAACAGATTTTGGGGTGTATTTTTGGGGCGAATTTGGCCAATTTTGGGGTGGATTTTTGGGTTGAATTTACCACACTTTGGGGTGGATTTTTGGGGCGAACTTGGCCGTTTCTGGGGTGTATTTTTGGGTTGAATTTTTCACATTTTGGGGTGGATTTTTGGGTTGAATTTTTCACATTTCGGGGTGGATTTTTGGGGTGAATTTCCCCGATTTCGGGGTGTATTTTTGGGTTGAATCTCCCCGGTTTCGGGCTGCCGGGGGGTCTCTCACCAGGTGGGGGCGGCGGCAGTGCGGCGTCGCCAGCAGGGCCAGGCTGTGCAGGAGGTGGAAGCGATTGGCGGTCTCGTACAGCTGGGGGCATTTTTAGGTCATTTTCCGTCATTTTGGACAATTCTCGATTTTTCTCGATTGTTTAGGGGTCATTTTTGGGTCATTTTTGGGTCATTTTTGGGGTTTTTCCCCCCCTCCTCACTCACCTCTTTCTGATACTCGTCCCGGTCACTGAGGCGCATTCCTGAGGGGGCAAAAAGGGCTCAAAGACCCCCAAAAACCCCAAAAAAATCCCCAAAAATCCCCCCAAATCCTCCCGGCACCCCCAGACCCCTCAGCCCCCCCAGATCCCCGCGTTTTTCCCCGTTTTTCCCCTTTTTATCCCTTTTTTCCCCACCGTGGGCCCCGTAGGCCGCGCCCGCCACGGC